TTCTGACAATCGAGTAGCCTTTGGTCATTCAAATACAACTAATATGGTGCCATAATTAAGATGATTAAAGTGCATGTGCTAAATTAATGTGCATTTGATTGGTCAATCAAAGTGAGTGAATCATTTGAGTCATCCCAAGTGCAAGAAAGCAGGAGAAACAGAGATGGCTCGAGCAGAGGGGAGCGAGGACAGAAGTGTGACAAGCTAGTGGGGAGGTGAGTGTCCGGGGAGAGACGACAGCCGAGACTGGCAGCTGCTAGTTTGGGAGGAGGGGGAGAGGGAGCCGCAACCGCCCTCCAATTGACCAAACACTCCAGATCACTCACCTGCCCCAAAGGCACTAAAACCCTTCCACTAAACACACAGTTGCAAGAGCTTTCATGTTGTTTTCACACAATCTCAAAAGTCACAGGCCTCTAGATCACATGCAGAACATTGGGTTGAAAGGTAGATCACCCCAAAATAAATCTTCTGTCATGATTTATTCACCATCACTGGTGCCATTGTAAAGCCAGTTTTATCTATTCCATTATATTCTTCTCAACTTAGCAAACATTTCATAGTAGGGCTGTTCAAAATATTGTTTCGGAATCAATATCACAATAGTCACTATGGCTGCATGATAATGGAAAAGTCTGATATAGCAACATTTTATTTTTCTGATATATATTGCGATATGAATAGAGTTTCAGGAGGCAGTTTAATAAACGCTCTATTTGACTGTTTTCTGGAGAGTCTAACACAGGGGTCTCAAACTCGCGGCTCGCGGGCCATTTGCGGCCCTCAGTGCAATATTTTGTGGCCCGCGCCGATCGCTGTACTCTGACAGAATCAGCGGAGCGGGGAGAGAGAGCGCTCCCCGCTCCGCTGGTTCTATCCGTACACAGCGCGCTTGTTACTCAATGCGCGTTGTCGCGCGCGTTCTGATCAGCTGTGTTGTCGCCCGCGTACTCAAGAGCGGTGTTATCGCGCGCCTACTGAAGGGCGGGACCGAGGGTGTGTCGCGTCGTGGGGGCACTTTTGATCATTTTAGAAGGGCACTTTCTATGCAAGACTAAAAACGGCATGTGCTCTGCACAGGTTGAGCCCTATGTGTGCACGTGCCTGCCCTGCATCGAGATTGTGTTGATATTATAGGTAGATACAGACTGGTACAGACTGATGTGACTGGAGTGGGGTGGGGGTGTTTTATTTATACATATATACGCCTTTTTTTTAGGTGAGGGAATGGAAGTTTTGAGTGAGTTCCCCCACTTTTTTCCCTAGGACTTCAATAAGTCAAAGTACAGGTCTAGACTTAATGATGATCATCTTCAAGCCATACTGAGGGTCTCAACTGCTTCCGCTCTAAAGCCAAATGTGGTTCAGATTTGTGAGAAGAAGCGCTGTCAAGTCTCTGGCAGCAAGAAGTAGGCAAAAGATGCCATGTTCAGAAGAACTGTTCATAATCTTCACTCAATGTTCTATTAATGTTCAGGACACTTCATGTTCAGAAGAAATAATTAAAACTGGTAATAATGACATTTGAGGACTTTTTTTGTGAAATCCCTTATGCGGCCCAGCCTCACCCAGACTTTGCCTCCTGCGGCCCCCAGGTAAATTGAGTTTGAGACCCCTGGTCTAACAGTATTCCGATACATAAATTGAATATTCAAAATGCCAAAAATGCTTTTCTAAATTGTTTTGTCTTATTTCTAGTCAAAATATCAAAGAATCTTAGACGAGGTAAAAATTTTGTTTAGTTTTCACTGTCTGAAGACACAAATGAAAAATAAGAGGTTTTTGTTTTAAGGAAATTATCTGCCAGTGGAGTAAGTAAAATAAACATGTTATCACTTTGAGATATTTGGGTTAGAAACAAGTCAAAAATTCTAAGAAAGAATTTTTTTTGCTTAAATAAAATTCTGTAGCTCCTGTTCAACATGATTCAGACATTGATTATAATAATATTGCATTTCTGTTGATGTGACTATTGCCGATATGCACATTGCGATATCAATGCTGAAGGGATATATTGTGCAGCCCTAATAGTCACATTACAGGATTTACATATTTTACATTTAACTACTGAACAGCTGTACCTCAATATTGTTACACTTCACACAAAAAACATAAACGCTGTTTATTTGATTTTTATCTTTGTTCTATTGTTTTTATCTGTGCTTTAATTTGTTTATATATATAAAACATTACATTATATATTGATGTACAATTCTTAACAAATTGAGTCTATCATCATCTTGAGAAATTATATTCGTATCGCAAAACATATGGCAGAAAATGGGCCTCATGATGGCTCAGTGGTCTAGTCACCTCACAACAAGAAGGTTGCTGGTCCAAGCCCCGGCTGGATCGGTTGGCATTTCTGTGTGGAGTTTGTATGTTGGTAGTTTTCCTCCGGATGCTCCGGTTTCCTCTACAGTGCATTGGCATGCGGTATCTGTGAATTGAATAAGCTAAACTGGCTGTAGTGTATGAGTAAGTGAGAGTGTATGGGTGTTTCCTACTACTGGGTTGCGTTTGGAAGGACATCTGCAGTGTAAAACATATTCTGGAGTAGTTGCTGGTTCATTCCGCTTTGGCAAACTCTGATAAATAAGGAACTAAGCTGAAGGAAAATGAACGCATGAATATTGTAGAAAAAACTAAATACAACAATGTACGTTTTTTTGCAATACCATGCAGCCCTATATCACAGTGTGGCTGGCTGACAAAAAATGTGGCTCAATGGTCATCAGTAATTATATGGTCATAATTTACAGTGCATCATCATACAGTCATAAAATGTTGTGTTACTCTGGTTACAGTTTCTATGGCTGGTTTTCTTGATAAGATCATCAACAAGCTGTTGGAGAGCGTGGCCCACACACTAAACGTTTCCAGTTGTGTAAGACTATTACTAAGCTGAAAACCGACACATCTCCCCCACATAGCGCTCTCTGACCAAGTGAATGAGTAGAACGGCACTGCCTTTCACAGATGAATGACACGGCGGTGAGAAGATGCTCAAAGATGCATCACGGTGCATGAAACAGCACCGCTGTGATGTCATGAATGCTGAATGAACTTCTAAACTTTGTGAATAGACGGAGATGCCTAATAAATCACAGCAAAATATATACAGTTTAAGACAGAATTATCAGCCCACCTGTTTATTTTTTCCTCCAATTTCTGTTTAACAGAGAGAAAAATTTTCAGCACATTTCTAAACATAATAGTTTTAATAACTCATTTCTAATAACTGATTTATTGTATCTTTGCCATGATGAAAGTAAATAATATTTGACTACATATTTTTCAAGACACTTCTGTACAGCTTAAAGTGACATTTACAGGCTTAACTAGGTTAATTAGGTTAACTAGGCAGGTTAGGGTAATTAGGCAAGTTTTTGTATAATAATAGTTTGTTCTGTAGACTATCAAAAAAATATATAGCTTAAAGGGGCTAATAATATTGACCTTAAAATGTTTTTTAAAAAATTAAAAACTACTTTTATTCCAGCCAAAATAAAACAAATAATACTTTTCTCCAGAAGAAAAAAATATCATCAGACATACTGTGAAAATTTCCTTGCTCTGTTATGCATCATTTGGGAAACATTTAAAAAAGTAAAAAAAGAAAATCAAAGGGGTGCTAATAATTCTGGTTTCAACTAATATATATATATATATATATATATATATATATATATATATATATATATATATATATATATAGAGAGAGAGAGAGAGAGAGAGAGAGAGAGAGAGAGAGAGAGAGAGAGAGAGAGAGAGAGATATATTGTAATGTGTAAATTAATCAAATGACAACAAAAATATAACAATACATAGAATATAACAATTAAATAGTATTTAAAATATAACAATGTTAAAATATAACAATTTAGATAGAATGATTTTGATCACTCAACAAACCTTTTGCACCACAACGTAAAGAACAGGGTGCCCTTTTCAATAGTATTTTGAAAAATGTTTTGTATTGTTTAACAGTCAAGTGTCAACGTATGTAGGAGGTGTAAAATACAGATATGCACCATAACTATTTATAAACCATTTAAACAAATTTAATGAGCTATTCTAGTTAAAATGTAGTTCGAACAGTGCTAAGTAGTCTATTTTTAAGTGATATTATGGTTCTGTACTGACTGAAAGCTTATTGGAAATAAATCAATCAGTTTACAAGAATTAAAACACTGTCAGTATCACACTGTAACCATCATCATTATTTTATAATGACTAACGACATCTGTGTTTGACAGATGTCTGAGTGCTAAGAGGACCTCAGCAGCAGAAAATAAACCAATGCTGTCAGTGACTTTGCCATTAAATCCCAGACATGAAGTGATGTCCCTTAAACAACGTCTCCGCTATGATAACAAAAGCCATTTTTAACACAATATACAGAAACCCACGTCCAAAACCCACTTGATATGCTTTCCTGACAATCTCTGCCCCACGGTATCGTGTCTAGCTGAACTGTCAAGGGCTCTTTTTCCTTTAAGGTCTGGATCACAGAACAGACAATAGCCTCAGTCCCTTGAGGTGAAACTAACGACCGGATTCAGCAACATTTATCTTCTAGTCCTCATTCACGGTCGACTCGTTCATTTACACGAGTTTAAAAGCATATTTGAGCAAAGAAAAATCACAATTTCCACCGACACACTCAGGCAGTGTCTGAAAAACTAATGAGCTGCCTACCTAGACAGCATGTCTGGGAACTAAGGGCGCGTTCGGAAGCTTTAGAAACTGCATTTTGGGTACCCAGACATTCCATCTCAGTAGGCAGCACACTAGTTTTTGAGACGCGCCCTGTTTTAAAACGAAATTCCTAAAGGAGAAACAGAAGACCTTCAAAACACCAAGACAAAGCAGCAGACAGCCGTCCGTTTGAGCACACATACGAGTCTGTAACAGCGCCAAACAGGCGTGGGATTGAATAATTAGGTTAATGTTATTAGCATTATTAATGGTGAGGTGATAATAACTCCATCTCTTACCTTCAGACAGCTCGAGCTCCAACTCCGCCAACTGCTCTCTAACCTCTTTCGGTAGAGCTGCCAAATCCACACCGCGGTCTGCCATCTTCGCGAAAATACGCTTAAGTTGTTTTAAGTGTGATGAAATGCACTTCGAAAGCCCAAAATCCTCCGGTCAAGGCATAAAGCGTGAATTAAAAGGTGAGTAACAATCCATCCGGAGAACTACTCCTTCCGCCATGCTTGGAGACTCACCAACGGCACTGCGCGGTCACGTGATCGCGTTTACCTCCTGTGTGTGATCAATGACACCCCCAAACACACACACACACACACACACACACACACACACACACACACACACACACACACACACACACACACACACACACACACACACACACACACACACACACACACACACACACACACACACACACACACACACACACACACACACAAATGACGCGCATGCGCCCTCTGGCGACAACATGACAAAAAGTTGCGATAATGTTACTGTCTTGAGTGTCGTACGTGTGTACTGGAAAAAGTTAATTACCCTGTTTTTGTCCTGTCTCTAAACCTCATGTAATATCGTTCTGGAATAGCTATGTTAATGATTTGTTATGGCCCAAAATTTGAAAATTACCTTATAAAAAATTTAAAATTGTTAATTTTGAATTGTTCAATAAACAATAATTATTTTTTTAATCCAGTGTTTATGTCACTTAGTGAAGCATTGTAATTTAAAAAAGTTAAATTTTATATTTTATTTTTAATGTTAATTGTTGTCATTCTGTTGTTTGTTTTCATCAGTCTTATTATTTTTTTAAGTGTTTTATTGTTTTGTTTTCATTTTGCACTTGAAAAACAAAAAATATTTTTTTGTTTAGTAGTTTACTAGTTTCTGTTTACTAATATTGATTTAATTAGTCTTTGTCATTTTGAGGTAACAAAAATGTTTAATATGTTTAATAGTTTGTATGAATAGTTTTGTTTATACATATATATTTATTAATTTAAATGTTAAACATTACATTTTATAAAATCACATAATACAATTATATGTATATTATTCCCATGTTTTATGTGTATTTTGTTATATATTATATAGACTGAAATTACATTTTATGTACATTTTATAAATATAGCTTAAATCATTGTTGCATAATAATCATGGTCACACAAATACACTACCTGACAAAAGTCTTGTCGCATATCCAAGTTTTGGGAACAAAAAATAATAACTTGACTTCTAGTTGATCATTTGGTATCAGAAGTGGCTAATATGAAAGGCAAAGGCCTCTAAATTACCCTTTTTTTACCCCCAAAAAAACATGATCATGCCTTGATTTTTAATAAGGTCTGACTTTGCTTTACAAAAGTCTTGTCACTTAACAGAAATAATGTACAGTATAGAATATAAAGTCATAGTGCAGTGGAAAAAGAATTAATATTGTGTATGACTCCCCCTGAGCTTAGAGGACTGCATCCACACATCTCTGCAATGACTCAAATAACCAATCAATAAAGTCATCTGGAATGCCAAAGAAAGCCTTCTCCCAGAGTTCATCAAGATTCCTTGGATTCATCTGCAATGCATCCTTCATCTCACCCCAGACATGCTCAATAATGTTTATATCTGGTAACTGGGCAGGCCAACACTGGACCTTCTTTGCTTTCAAGAACTCTGATGTGGAGACTGAGGCATGAGGAGCATTATCCTTCTGAAGAATTTGCTCTCTCCTGTGATTTGTAATGTAATGGGCAGCACAAATGTCTTGATACCTCCGGCTGTTGATGTTGCCATCCACTCTGCAGAACTCGCACAAGCCCCCATACTGAATGTAACCCCAAACCATTTTTTCTTCACTAAACCTGACAGATTTCTGTGAGAATCTTGGGTCCATACAGCTTCCAATACATCTTCTGCAGTATTTGTGATGATTGGGATGCAGTTCAACAGATTATTCATCAAGAAAATCTACCTTCTGACACTTTTCCAAATGATCAACTAGAAGTCAAGTTATTATTTATTGCTCTTGCAACAGTGATCAACGACAAGACTTTTGTCAGGTAGTGTACGTGCTTACTTGGTAATAAATATAGCTGAAATATAAATAAAATATCATGCACAATAAGACTAGAAACATTCTGTTTAGTCTTTTTGTTTAATCAAAACTGCAGCACTGTGTTCAGAGTATTTCACTTCAACATGCATGAAAAATAGTAAATATATATGGTACACATATGTACATTACAAGAACCATTCAACAACAACAACAAAAAAACTATCAGTCCAACTTGGAGTGAGGTTGTCTCCCATAAACGACATACACTTAAAATAATTTTCCATCCCCCAATCTCCCTCTCTCTTTAGCCTATAATTTCATATTATTCTAAAGGACTTTTGCTTTGTTCAGTCTGACATTCTCAGGGAAACTGCATTCAATTTAACTCGCGTGAAGCAACTCCATAATAAATTAATTGTGCATTACGCTGGAATTATGGATCATTAAGTCCATCAAGACAGAAATCTGGGACAACTTTAAAGTGATTATCAGTGAGAGAGGGGAAGCAGGCATCCTAAATAATCTTTACAAATAAAAATAACTACAAATATTTGAGTACAAAGTGTTAAAAAAACAAAACATCTACAGGAGAATTTCTACATTTCTGTCTAACAACACTCACACACGCAAAAAACGATGTATTATAATGATATTTCTATAGTCCTGGCAGCATAAAATTAAAATAAACAAACAAAAATCTTACAAAAAGTGCCAGTGAAGCTAAAAAAAAAAAAATCCATTCTGCTCAATTTCAGATCAACAATCCTCGAAGCGGCCTCTGCTGAACGACTACAGCGCCAGCACACAATAAAACAGGACAGCCAGGAGTCGTTTGTGTGATATCGGACAAGTGGTAACTTCGATAAGTGTAGAAAAAAATGAACCCAGCATGATTTTAGTGCATTCCCACAGGCCTATATACAATTTGGACTGATATCATGTGTTAATGCAACATTACGCACCGGAAATATTGACAGAAAAATGCAAGAAACAAGTTACACACATTGAGCGACGACAGTACATCTTAATCCCTTGTTTATATGCTGCCTCATTTAAAAAAAGTGTCTGAATTTATGTTTGGATAATAGTTTTAGTACAGGTAAAGCCATTCACATAGAAGTGGACACTCTTTGTTCCCTGCAGCCTGTAAGAGCACTATTTTACCTCCAGGTGGCAGTGTAGAACATGGTTCAAATTAAGGGCAGTGCTCTTTACTAATAAAGGCTGTTTTCCATTCATTACTATGGTATAGCTTTTAAAATCTATGGCTGATGGCTGTGGTGAGCTGAGCAGTCATGGAGTGAGGTTAACCTTATAAAGAGGCACTCGTGTGATTTGTAAGGCAGATTCTTTGTCTCTTCTACTTGTTTTTCTAATCAGGGGTTGTGTTAATCAGTGGAGCAGAGAAATATCTAGTGTTAAGGCCTGTGCACAACGAGACACTTTTTGCTTGCATTTTCCGTCGACGTTAACACCTCGTGACTAAATAAAGGGCACCAATGTGATCGTGCACACCAACGTGAAAACGCCAGGCGTAAAAGCATCTTTTTTTTAAGAAACGCATTGTGATGTTGTTAGGAAAATTGTAAAAGAGGCTGAATGAGAGGGTAGAGAAGCACTATAGAGGTGGATTTCTCCAAACCGAGCGGGGAATTGTAAATGTCAATTATGTCAAATGAGAAGATTCAATAATGTCAATGATAACATTTAAATTAAAAAGGCAAATTGATGATTTGGGCTGAAATTATGAACACAAAAAGCCATTTAAAAAACAGTTATGGAAGTAAAATGAAAGGTTATAAGGATTAAATTAGCAGATTCTTATCATAAATTATATGTTGTTTTTGTTAGAATTATGTTTATATTTATTTTTTAATCACATCCTTTGATTTTGTCATTGTTTTAAATAGGTTTACGTCTCCAGTTACTTCAGATTAATTCTACTTACTCATAACAAACCTGAAGTAACCTGAGAGAATGAAAAAAAATTATGCAATTTTTATGATCATAAAAGTTGTAACTATGAAAACAGATTCTGAATTCCTATTTTTGTTTCATAAATGACTTCCTTATAATTATATATTATCCGTAATATTGATTTCATTTAGTATTAATATGACTTTTTGTCATAGGTGATTATTGAAATTCATTCATTCATTCATTCATTCATTCATTCATTTTACTTTCTTTATCAGGGGTTACCACAGCGGAATGAACTGCCAACTATTCCAGCATATGTTTTACACAGCGGTTGCCCTTCCAGCTGCAACCCAGCACTGGGAAACATCCATACACACACATACACTACAGTTAATTTAGTTTATTTAATTCACCTATAGAACATGTCTTTGGACTGTGGGGGGAAACAGAGCACGCTGAGGAAACCCACATGAACACGAGGAGAACATGCAAACTCCGCACAGAAACGCCAACTGGCCCAAATGGGACTTAAACCAGCAACCTTCTTGCTGTGAGGCGACAGTGCTAACCACTGAGCCACCGTGTTGCCCTACAGTCAAAATGATAAGATGTTAATTTGTAATTATAAGAAATTGACTACTACTATTTAAAAAGGGTCTTGTTTGCAAGGGTCCAAACTAGAAAACTGAAAACAGTCTCCTATTTGCGGCTTCTGAGTTCGTCGTACACAAGAAAAGAATAACAGGACAAAACAAACAACAACGAGTTTCCGAAGCCCAAACCGAACGCAATGTGCCAATACAACACAATTTATACATAGCAAAACGTTTGCATGCTAACAAGGCAGACTTAGTGTATCAGTCCTTCACAAACTGCTATTTTTCCATTCATCCACACGAGAAGCACACGCCGATTATAAACGCATAGAACTGGTTAAAAATGAGGTAAGATGAGGGAGGGTCAGATGAGGGACATGGCCACCTGAAAACTAAAAAACCTGCTCCAAAATAGCAAGGTAAGAACAATAAAGCAACAATGTTTCTCTCAAACACACACACTCGCACACACACACACACATACTAATACATATATATAAGAATATATAAAGTATTGCATCATCACAACTTTGAGACGCGGCCTGCATGTGTGTGAATTTCACATACGCCGAGCGCACGTCTTTATTGCAGCATGTGTATGTGCATCTGTCTATGAGGATACGGTTAATGACAGGAAGTGCTTTGCAGTCCTACAGCCAGTGGAGGAGCAGGAGGAGGTTGAAGGAAGGAGCAGAGGATGCGAAAGAGAGCAGGATTGGAGTCCAGTCCCCGTAGTCTATGGCATAGTGAACGACCATCTCCTTCCGTCTTTGTTTCTTATTTTGTTTGTGTTTGTGTGTGTGTGGGTATGTGTACAATAGTCCCAGTTTCATTCCCAGAATGCAGCTGAGCTCCAGGCGCAAGAGGGAGTGTGTTCTCCTCTCTCCCAGGATGTGGAGAGTCTCATGCAGGTTCTCATCATCTGCTGGACGGGTGGGATTGTGTGGCCATGATGACGTGTGATGGGCCGCCACTGCCACCCTGCTGGCTGCCCATTCCTGCCAGCACCGACATGGCCACTGCTTCAGCCGCAGCACGAGAGCTCAGGCCATTGGGTCCCACTACAGACGAGGGGCTGGGGGCCAGAGAGCTGTGCTGGATGACCGGCGCTGGGGAGCCCGTGGGTTCGGATGTCTCTTTCATGTGCTCGTCTCCTGAAGAAACACAAAATGGCGGTTTGATCCTGTAGAGGCAAGTGGAGGAACCATAACATGAGCTCTACTTACCTAAATAGGCAGCTTTCTTCTGGAGGTTGGTGACAGGACAGTCTTTATGGGCTAACAGCAACTGCTTTAGATGAGCAACTTCGTTTCGTAGGTGAGACACCTCGTTCTTGTACACACAAATATAGGAAAACAAAACAGTGTAAGCATCAGACTTGAACACAAACTAGCTGCAATATTTATAAAGTACTAATAAACTTATTTAAGAATAGTAAAAACTTTTCAAACTCATAAAAATGTTATAATAATATTATATAAAAAAATTAAATGATAGTAATTAATAATAAAACACATGAATAAAAGAACATTCAAAATAACAACTAGTAATTGTTTTGGTTTAATTTATTGCTGTATCAGATTCAATGGCTATTTTACTGCAAAACAGACCATATTTACGAACAGTTTATAAATAACACATTTCTATAACAATAAAAAGACAATCGTTAATACAGAAGTGCAAAATCTAAAAGTATTGAAGAATTACTTTTGATTAAAAAAATAATAATAATTTGTAAAGGATTGCTGAGAACTGTACATATACAATCTATATGTCTTATAAATAACTTTACTAATGAACTTTTATTATAAATAATAACAAAGTACTTTAAGTATTATTAATGGTGAAGTATGTAAGTTTGACACCCAGTGGTTGAACCAGGTATTGCATTCCTGGATTAAAACAAACGCAAGCACAGGTTGCCAGATTGATGATCAAGCCTAAAGTCTGATTTAAACAGTGTTCTATATGAAAGCAACGGCACATGATAGAAGGACTATTTCCATATTAAAATAATTTTTTGTTCTAACCAACACCTTAAATTGAAATAATAGAAGGGGTTACAGTTTCTTGCAACTGAACAATATAAAACTGACAAAGATCACCTCAAACAGCCAAATTGCTTATCACTGCAAATCTCGTCACAAGTGTGCTGTTAGGACACGGGGTTACAATGTAACCTACCCACCTAATGTTTACATTCCTAATATTTATATTATTTGCTAATTAATAACCTTATGTGGAACTCTGAATCTGCGTTTCATTTCAGAGTCTGCTACTGTCCACCGGAGGTCGCATTTCAGTCATGAGCGCATGCTTTGAGAGCCTTTCTGAACGAATGAATGAAATATGCTGTTTTCCATCAAGACAACCCGCGGTACTGAAATATAATTGGCTAAAGTGGCAGTGGGCAGGTTAAAAGAACCAAAACAAAGACATACGTTTTTCAATTAAATAACTCACATTTTCAAAGCAGAATATCTGACTGTAGTAATGTTTTTCAAAAAAACAAGTATGTTAACTTGGTATGTTTCTTAAATATTTGCAAACATATTATGGTATTTTTATGGTTCAGTCAAAAACTTACATACAGCACATTTAATAAACAAACTATGACTTTTGCCGCAATATATTCCTAATTTGCTGCTTATTAATAGTTTTTAAGGTAGTAGTTAGGTTTAGGTATTGGGTAGGACTAGACATGTATAATAAGATGATGCAGAATATGTACTTTATAAGTACTAAATAAACAGTTGATATCATAATAATAGGCAGATAATTAGCCACTAGTAAAAGCTGAGAATTGGTACTGAAACTAAAGTGTTACTCTATTATTAGTAGTAGTAGTAATTAAGGGTGTCACGATTTCGATTTTAAATCGAAATCGATCTAAATTTATGCTTGATTTCGATTATCGATTAAAAAAATAGAATCTTCGATGCTGCCACGCTCCCATGTCACGTCAGCTTGGCTAGCCAAGTGGGAAAAACACGCTTGTTGAAGTGCTTGTTAAACTGTGCAGACGCATCGACAGAGCTTAAACCATCAGGGCTCGAAAATAAGGACTGCCCGATAGCCCGAGGCCAGTGTGCGAGACGCTCAGGCCAGTGTACAGTACTGCCTTGTTGCCTGACAGATAGAGCCAGAGCTGCGTGCTGCGACTGTTTGTCAATTGTGTGCAAATACAATCTTACGGTGCTTTCACACATAGACGTTTGTTTCGGAATCTGTCTCGTTTCCCCCGTTAGCGCGGTTTGTTTGGCATATATCCAGCAGTTGCGCTCGCATCCGCGCCAAATCAATCAGTCCGAGATCGCCTGAATGAGACGGTCTCTGCCCTACTGAGCGGATCGATTGTAGTGAGAAAACAAAACAATGCAACGTACTAATGACCCAGGCTATATCACAGTGTATTATGATCGTGTAATAGCCATATATACGGCTATATGAAGAGAGAATGATGAGCTGGGCGAGATGTCATTCTTACCGGTAAATGCGTAAGTGAAAGCATGGTGAAATATTACCGAGAGCTGTTTATCCAGCCTGATCTTGGTTTATCCGTCAGGAAAATTGACCGAAATTACCATCTGTTAATTTTTCCATATTTTAATCATATAATATGTTGTATTAGGCCTGTTGTTTTGTTCATTTCCGCACTGACAACTCGAAAGAAAGATTTACATTGATCTGATGCAGTCTCGGTTCATCTGCTATGTCTCTCTATAATTTAAGCCTATAATGCAGAATTCTAGCCAACGTTTCTTTAATAGATTGATTAATTCAATAGATCGATTTTTACAAAACCTGACAATTGAAATGAGGCTCTGTATATATGAGAAAGTCTGACCTCGGCTTTATATTCGGTGACGATGTCTGTGGGTTGTTAAAATTAAAGTGCACATTTTTGCTTATAAAATATTCTATACACAAGTGCTCTAAAGTTTGGGGTCAGTATGATTGTTAAATATGTTAAACTAAGCTTCTTCTGCTCACCAAGGCAGCAATTATTTCATCATAAATACAAATTGTGAAATGTTGCACTATAAAATAACTGTTCAAAAGTAGTTTATCATTTAATTTATTCATTTATTCCAGTGATTTTAAAGATGAAATTTCAGCTTCATTACTCCAGTCACATGATCCTTCAGAAATCACTAATATTAATTATTATTATATTTATTAATGGTAATAGTAATAAAAGCAATAATGTCTGGAGTAATCATTTTATTTGAAACTACATACAATAACAAAGCAGTTATTTCAAATTTTGATAAATATTTAACAATTTAACATTTTTTACATTTAATAAATGTAGCCTTGATGAACTGAATAAGTTTTCTTAAAAACATAAAAAAAAAATACTGTAAATATATATATACAGTGGAAGTCAGAATTATTAGCCCCCCTTTGTTGTTTTTTTCTCTTTAAAATATTTCCTAAATGATGTTTAACAGAGCAAGCAAATGTTGATAGTATGTCTGATAATATTTTTTCCTCTGAACAAAGTCTTATTTGTTTTATTTTGGCTAGAATAAAAGCAGTTCTAATTTTTTTTATGAACCATTTTAAGGTCAAATTTATTAGCCCCTTAAGCTAATTGTTTTTCAGACTGTCTCCAAAACAAACCATTGTTATAAAATAACTTGCCTAATTACCCTAGCATGCCTGGTTAACCTAATTAACCTAGTTAAGACTGCTTCAATCTTTTACTTTCACATTAGTACTTAGTCATTTTAGCGAACACATCAGATACTGTTGGCTGGTTCCTGTTGGTTGTGCCCCTTTTTTTACAGACGCCATTATAACGACACAGATCACTGCCTATTCACAAGAAAAAAGTGATTGACAGGTGGTAATTATGTGTGTAACTTGCCTTTATTCATTTACTGTATGATTTGTTTTTGGGTAAAACAAAGATTATACAGGTCAGGTAGTTTAAACGGTAGGCTACAAATAATTAATTTGTTATTAATTAATTAATTATTCATTATCGAAAATCTAATTGAATCGTGACTTAAGAATCAAAAATGTAATCGAATCGAGGATTTGGAGAATCGTGACACCCTTAGTAGTAATAGCAGTAGTTTTGAAATATGCCTGTAATAATTTGTAATAAACAAATATATATTAATATTTCACACTGAAATGGTATGCAGTTTGCTTTAAGTAACATTAAAGGGTTGTGAGTTGAAAAAATAGATGTTGGATAAGTCTCTGATATCCTTAGAGTGTGTATGTGAAGTTTCATGAATAAATAACCTACAAAAACTTTATAACTTATTGAAATTTGCCCTTTTAGGTTTTAATCCAAACTGTGCTGTTTCGGTGACTGTCGCTTTAAATTCAAATGAAACTGTACTTTCAGCCCTCTTTTCAAAGGGGGTGGGGCTATAAACGCCCATGTGTCACCAAAACTCTAATGGCAGACAGCTGCTTCTCTCTCAGGGCTATCTATGCTAACTAGGGAGAGGTCGTCACTAATGGGCTGCTTTCCCCCTCCGATGACGTACAAAGGGAGAATGTCAATCAAAGTGTTTCTACAGATTGTTTTTCTTAAGTTTGATTATAAAAAATAGAATTAATACACTTTTACCATTAGCAGCTGGTTATATTCACACACTGTTGCAACACAACTGTGTTAAAGACCCACACATTCAAGAATTTAGCATAATAAGTTTCCCCTTTAAATGTTTCTGACTTCAGTGTGCTGCTTGTTTGTCACATGACAACATGCTGACACTTTAAATATAAATAATGGAAGAACACGATGCATTCTGGGATACAATGTCCCCCGCAGTATGCTCTGGTTGCATGCATCTTTTATTAATCAAATCTGTTTATTCCACGTATTGCCTACAGCAATCTACAAACGACCTTAAAGTAACATACAGAAATCACTTTAAACACATTTACATTTCAGTTCATGTTAACTAACCGAAAGCGAGACGTTGATGGAGGTGAGCTCCTCAGCTTTTTTCTCCAGAGAGTTCACCCATATCTTGCGTTTCTGCCTGCAACGTGAAGCCGCTGCCCTGTTGCGCTCCAGAAAGCGTTGCCTCCTCTCATCGGGGTCATCATCAGCCGTCCTCCGCCTGCGACCCCCGGTGGGCTGAGCGGGAGACACCTGAACACAGCAGGCAAGAGTAAGCACTGAGCTTCACTGATTAACGTGACATCAAAGTGAAAGATAATCCCTGGTAAACATGATATAAATACTGTATTGTTGTCAAAAGCTGATGCTTAAATTCAAACACATTTTAAAAATCTGCTTTTTTGCAGTGATTTAAGAATGGAGTCAATATTAAGAGCATCAACGTTTTCATATTTAGTGTCTTTACAGCATAGATCATTGTGGCCAATCAAAGACAATTGTGCCTGGCATGTGAAATGGCCAATCAGAGGAGTTTAAGTTAGCCAGAAGACACTGAAAACTATACTGTAGTTTGTTTAGTGTGAGCTTTGCATAGTTTTTGTAGCCAAAAGGGTTTAAAAACAAAGTAAAAATTCATTGTGTAATATAGACAGATTTTTTTATTTTAACTCTGTTTCAGGAGTGATAGTAGTATTAAAATGCAGGACTGAATCTGAAATTGTGATGTTCGGTATTGTGATAATCAAAGCAGGGGATGGGACAAAAACTCTGATATTTCAAAATAGTTTCAAGTCTTGCAACAGAAAAATAACAGAATGTACATCCTGTGTATATACTGTTTGGTTTGTTTGACCTTTTAAGCACACTTTTTTTTCCTGTTCCCCCCACAAGTCCAAAGATACGCAGTATAGGTGAATTGGATAATCTAAATTCACCGTAGTGTATGAGTGTGTATGGATGTTTTCCAGTGAGGAGTTGCAGCTGGAAGAGCATCCGCTACTTAAAACATATGCTGAATAAGTTGGCGGTTCATTCCACTGTGGCGACCCCTGATTAATAAAGAGACTAAGCCGTAAATAAAATAAAATTAATGAATATATAAGCAACTATATAAGACATAAGCAACTCTAGTTTAAATTATAAGACATTTCTGTTATAACAATATTGAAGACATTTTTTGACAACGTTTAAGTTCACGCAGTCTAATAAATCAGTGGTTCTCAAAGTTGGGGTCGGGACCCCCCGAGGGGTCGTGGGACAATGAAGGGGGGTTGCCTGGTGATTTCCAAAAAATCTATTCATTTTTATTAAACCAAAATAATTACCCTATTTTATCCATAACCTACTAAAGAGAAAAAAAAATAGTAGCTTATAGTTTCTAGTTCTATTGGATTGCGACCCCTGGGGTAATTATATTATATTAAAGACACAGCTATAGTGTCAGATGCAGCAGATTGACTTTTAACACCAGGTAAACTTTCTGGCCCATTTACAGCACTCACATACATTAAAAAAATAAACAAAGAATAGACTTGGGTCTATTTGTGCGTGTGCACCATTGCATGCAAGGTTTCTCTATTTATAACCACCTCAGAAGATATTGGGGGTCGCGTGTCACTGGCATTGTCATTTTGGGGGTTGTGGGCTGAAAAGTTTGGGAACCCCTGTATTAAATTACGATTACTTTATAAAAAGTTATGCGCTAAACTTTCAGCTTATTGGGTTTCTTTGATAATTTGTTAAACAATTTTTATTTCAATAATATTGCTATATTTAATTGATTAAAAGTGAACAGGCTGTTTTAATGTATTGTTTATTCACTTATAATTATTAACAGCATAAATATTTACTGTATATAATTTATCTAATATTTTTCATACTTTTTTTTTCTATACTACTGAAATTAATACAGAGTAATCTGTACTAGGCATGGGCCAGCATAAGATTCTGATAGTACATTAACCTTTGATAAAAATATCACGGTGTCACGGTATTGTGATCACAGCTCTAAAACAAGTACTTTTGAAATGTCTGGGAAAAAAAATTAATTCCCCCATTGAACAAAATATATTACATTCATAATTTTTTGGTACAGTAAACATGCCAGGCTAGATAATTGAGATAAATCATTGACTTCTGCTCTCTTTGTTACAAGACATAAGAAACATAAACCTTGACTTTTTCATATATATATATATTATTATTATTATTATTATATATATATATATATATATATATATATATATATAAATATATATTTTTTTTTTGCATGCTTTACCTGTGGCTGAGCAGGTGATGGAGCATCTGGATGCTGAACCAGCAGCTGGCTTTGCTCCACCCTCTGAGGCACCATTGCACTAGAGCCCATCGCCACACCAAGACAACCCTGAGCGGAGGATGTCTGCTGAGATAATGCTGCTTTCAACCTCTGAGAATAACAACAAAGACACCATGGTAAAGTAGCACAAGATGGCATTCTTTTAATTAGAAGGCAGCAGTTACAGCCGCGACACAAGTTTTATTCCTCTTTCATGTGGAAACGCAAGAAAAGTCATTTCATAAAACTGAACCATAACTCATCAAAGCACTGAGGAGAGAAACCACGTGACAGAAAGGAAATAAAAACATGAACTTCTGCATTTTGTTACTACAGGTCAAGATGGCCATCTAGATATAAATATACACTTTTTATGTCCTCCCAAGAAATGTGTCTTTTTAAAGTGGCAAACACTAAATCACCCTAATTATATATAGCGACTAGTCAACAGACCACCCACCAAGCCTTAATGAAAATATGTATTTTCAGTATATGCCTGCTTAACAAGTGTACTTGAAATACAGTGTGTTAATGACAGAGCTGCTTTGTTGTTTGTTGTGAAAACTGTCACCCATGTGACGTACTGGATAAAGACTTCAGCATAAAAACACTAAGACAAAGCTATGCAGAGATCAGAGAATATATTTTACTTGACTGAGTTAGAAAGAAAAGAGTTCTGCCCTCACCATCTTTGCCTCAGCATGAGGGTTGTAACCGGAGGGTGAAGACGAACCGCTGCTGCTGCCCCCTAGTGGAGGCCCGGGGATGCCTGGAATGTTGGGCACCATACACAAGGGCCTTGCCAACTACAACACAGGGCCAAATGCAAAACATTTCATGAAGCAAATTATGAATGACTCCAAAGATCGGAAAAAACAGCTCTCTGGAAATTCATATTAAAAGAGAAGTGGGTCATTTATTCGAGCTATAAGTGAAACTGTGCTTAAAATGGAGGAGTGAATGATAATTTAGTACTGGGAAAATATGACATACTTGGCCACTATTAAAGTAAGTCAGCTTAGTCTGTGCCATCTTGGTAGCAGACATTCAAATAATGTCAGCTTGAATAAGATGAAAAGACTAAAAACACAAAACTGCCAGGATCACATTACAAAAATGTATTTAGAATAAGAATGGATTTTATCTTCTTTAACTTAAAATTATACGAGGAGTCTAAGGTATTTTTAGGAACCATAAATGTATTATGAAAGTGCAAAAGATTAGTTCACAATGTGGAAATAACAGTGGAATATTATAATGACAATAAATATAGAAATTAAATACAGAAAAGTAATTTTAAAAATATCTTAAATTACTGAAGAAATGATAGTGTTAACTCAAAATAGAAAGAAATATATTTTTTAAAAGAAACACTTTTAATTATAAAGAAAACAAAACATTTTCCAGTGTTATTTCAGGATTACTTATAATACTTTAAAGTATTTAAATGACTTATCTTTTATTGTCTTCTTAACATTTTTATTTTTATTTTACATGACTTTTTAGGGCTCAACACTTAAGCCCCATTCACACGGGGCTTCACAGTCAACGCTTGACAAAGGGCGTGTCTGAAGTTAGGGCTGACCCAATCGTCATAGCAGCGTCAGACAATAAAATTAGTCAGCAATCGGTTACTGTCTGAGCTGTTGTATATGCATACAGCGATCTGATTGGCTGACGCTTCCGACGGTGCTTGGAAAGATGAGCAAGTCCCAACTTCTGCAAATAGCACAGATCCACAATGCAGTTCGGCAACGCCTGACATCACCCATTCAAAGTAAATGGGAAGCGTTGACGCTGACGCCCCATGCGAATGGGGCGTAAGATTTTACAGTTTTTCTCTGGCCACACCAAACTTATTATTTCCTTGCCACAAATTAAAACAATGTGTTAAAACAAGCTAAATACAGCTGTATACAAACACTTTTTATTCAACAAACAAAATTATAAAAAATATTCTCATTTATCTAAAACTATACACAGTAGTTTGTCCAGACTAAAAGTCCCAGATCATCAGCTGACTATAAATAAATGAGAGTTAATCTCCTATTAAAGCAAAGTTATTGTAATAGATGATAAATAAATCATTTCAACAAAAATAACTCTAAGCAAAATAAAGCAGGTGAAAAACATTCTGCGTGCGATAATGAAAGTATGATCACATGCACACGGTTAACATTAGGATTAATAATAATCTGTTCAAAGAATAGTAAAAGCAAAGCTGCAACTGCTGCTGCATACAAAAAATCTGGAGATCTCTTGGAAGCAACAGGACTGTGGGTGCATGAGCACCACTTTTTGTCCATACTATTTCAAAGGGAAACAATCGCACCAGTTGCGTTTCCGGGCGTTGTTTTGCAAAAGGAAATGGGAGCATTTAAGGACTCGCGCGCATCACATTAGCTGTGCCTTGCTCACAATGACAGTAATGTCAGTGTCTCACGGTGCGCCTGATCATCCTCTCATTCGGTATTCACCTGGTTTCTTTTGCTCGCACGGACAGTTATTAATTGTACTGCTTTTCAGTTCTAAGAACACATTCGCGCACATATTGACAAACGGTCTTAAACTAAAACTCAAATCCTTAGGGACGAGGCAGCCCTGGCATTTTTTTAAATGGTTTTTAACCAGCCGAGGTGGCTACTGGGGGTGTCTGTCTAACCCACCACAGCTGAGACCTACCCGCATTTGCTAGGCTGGCGGGTGTTAATGTCAAGCCCTGGTTATATTATCCTTTTCATTTTTAATTTTAGTTTTGAAGTCTAGTTTTTAAGTTTTAATATTTAGCTTTAGCTTGCAAAATATTGTTTGTTGTTTGAACTTATATCTGCTAAATTTTCATTCTTATTATACTTACAATTATTTTAGCTTTATAGTTTGTTGAGCAAATGATGATAATTGGACTCATTGCTTAGTACTTCACTATATTTTCCCCTATATATTCCCTGATGTGCTATATTAATTCAATAGTGAGGAATAAAACTGATGTTTACAGTGTTTTACAGTGGATGCTCAGCCATTTCCATGCCACTGATTAATATATGCCTTAAAATTGATCATATTAAATTGTGAGAGTCCATATTTGCATTTCAGACTTACTGATATTACAGAGGGCATTTGCATAGGACCAGGAAGCACAGGAACCGTTTGACCATTGGGAAGCATCATCATTGGGTATGGCACTGTTGGAGACCTGAAAGACGAGTAGAGAAATTTCCAGCGACTACAAAAAGCAATGGACAGACTAAAGCTCAGTTTTCTTCCAGTGCACTATCTGACCAAACATTTTTGGGATGTCAACTACGTCATTATAGATGAGCCAGCAGCCCACACTTTCCAAATAATCCCCACCAAACCAAATTAAAGCGGCCAGTGAATCATGAAGAAATGAATCACAGAGAATAACACCAACAGTTCAATGATCCACAGTGTGTGTTTACTTACCCCAGTGTGCGGTTGGATGGTGGGGTGTGTGTGATGACGGAGGTTGGGGAAGGCATGGTGGGATGCAGGCCGTCATAACCCAGGTGCAGAGGGAGGGATCCAGGACGCACTATGGCTGGGGTTGGAGCTGAACTGAAGGCATGCCTTGGAGGAGAATCCTGCGACGATAATCAGCCAATGAAACTTAAACAATCTCAGAAAGATGAATTTAAAAACTTCCAAAAACAGATGTCATGCAGTCAGGTTTGTTTGTTTAGTGATGCAACATCTAGTTGAGCTATTGCCAAATACATAGTTTAGTGAAATGTGTAATTATGGTCTCTACAGCTCAGCAGCCACTTGAATGGCAAGTCTGCAATGTGAAAATATTTTATTTTACAGTGTCTTACACTTGCATACTGTTACTCATACTTTTGAGAGTATTACTTGTAAATCCTGCATGACGACATGCAATAATCTTAAAATAAATCTTTCTCAGCAGCACAAATAGTTAATAATAAAAAGGGATGTAACAATTCACCGTGAGCCAGTTGAAAATCGATTTAAATATGTGACGATTTAAACCGGTTGAAATGTTGAATGAATCACAATATGTTTTGAACAGAGGGGGCGCCGTGTTTACAGGCGTAATCTCGCTTTAGCTGCACATCAGTGGTGAGCAAGAGGTGCGGCAGCAGAGTAAAATGACAGCGGTGGAGTGCGCCAGACAAAACACAGTGGATGCGTCCGAAACCGCCTACTACTCAGTAGGTACTACTAGGCCTTTCTATAAAAGTACGTTCTATACAGTACAAATGTAAGTAGTATGAATGGAATTCGGACGTACTTCATCCGCCATTTTGTCAAGGTCACGTGACTTACCAGCGACAGTTGCATCGCTTCATTCCCATTCATGAATTCTCTCCCGGGGCATCATGGCATAGTGCAGCGTGCATGGGATGCGCACTTCAGAATCTCACCGAAAGTAGTAGGTCATCCAGGTACTTCTTGCATACTGATTTTCGTATTCTATAAATTCGGACATACTACTCGGTTCACATACTGATTTTAGCGTACTATATAGTATGGAAGTATGCCGTTTCAGACGCAGCCAGTGTGCAAATACTGTAAAAAGATGTTTACTTGCACTTACAAAACAACGAATATGATGCACATAAACTGTCAGCACAGTGAAAATTTTCATAGCGAAAGTGTGACAATGTTATTCAGACTGAAAGAGAAAGCTGTTCTGTTATAAAACCAGGTATTAGATTACTTTAGCCTCTCCTTTTTAAATTAGTTTATGCATATTTTAATAATTTGCTTATTAGTGAATTTTAAAAAAAGTTAAACCTTATCTCTTCTGACATGTATCACACTGATACTTATACTAATTAATTATACAAGTAATATTAATCATTAAGCCTGCCTTTATCCTACTATAAAATTAGTCATTTCATAATCAGTTTTTTTACGCCAGAGGCCAGTCTCCTGGTTTAGGAAAGGCTTACATCTCTCCACACCAGCCATCTCAGTCCCCAGTGAAAGAGTTTTTTCATCAGCAGGGGACATTGTAAATGTGCAAAGACTTCACCTTATGCCAGAAAACACAGATATGCTGATATTTCTTTTTAAAAATGTCAAATCCCAGCACAGTCAGTTTTAGTTTGACTATACTGAGTCTTTAATTTGTATTATTTAAGCATTTAAGAAAAAAAAATGAAAGGGCTCTTGTTCACCTTAAATTTGTTTCAAATAATTTTATTAAACAATCATGTCTAAATCGTGAGATTGAGAATCATATTAAATCGTGAGTCAGGTGAATCGTTACATCCCTACAATCGTTACAAATTATTTAACCTGCTTTATTATCAGAAATAGAATTGTAAAGGTGCCATATAATGAAAATATGGATATACCTAGACTTATGAGAGTTAATAAAAGTTCAGTACATGGAAATGACATGAAGTAAGCCTCAAACACCATTATTTCCTCATTCTCATGTAAATCAGCTGAGTATAAAATCCTGGTGAAAAACAGAGCAGTCAGAACAAAACAGACGATGTTAATCACACAGGATCAGTAATGTGCATGCTTTACCTGAAAGCGTTCCACAGCAAAATTACAACAATTATAATTGTTTCCCCTTATTTTTAAGATGACCTAAGCTTCTAATATATTTATGATGTATGTGGGACTCATGTTTTGAAAATGGGACAGGCTTTAAAGGAAAGGTAAATGGATTTACCATTAATGAATTATGAATTACAACATGTGAGATATACGGATTATAAATTTATTCAATGCCAACCTGACGAGGCATAAAGTCTGTTTAAATGTACCTTTAATTTAAAGTATATATAGTGCAATTTCAACCTATTTAGATATATGAAAAGCATTTAACATTGTATCAATGCATTCTATGGCACCTTTAACATTCAAATCAACACACATAAAAGATTAAAGTTTTCAGAATATGTAATGCGTTTGTCCTTTTTTGCTTCAATCTTAAGCTCCATGAAGATTCATTAAACATAATAATCATGAACTCCAGCATGATTTAAGAGCAATCCAAAAGGCTTCAAACAACTAGCAAAGAATCCATTTATTTACAAATTTCAAAAGCCTAAATTTTTAGCGTTAAATCCAACATTTAATTGCAAATTTCAAATGAGGCCTCAGACTTTTTCCACTGTATTTGTGCATTTTAGTTCAGCTTCAGCACAATATGATTGGCATAAAGCTTGTACCTTTCCTCTGCCTACGGGTTCTTTGCTGCTGTCTGACATGCTGGAGATGGAGTCAGGACTTGTAGGCGGAGTGGAGTCCACCTCCACAGGGTCCTCCTCCTTCACCTTCACGTCTGAAGGCGTCTGCAAACTCATATCTATGGCTCCTGAATTCGGAGCAGGCAACTGCGAGGAAAAAGAAGTCAGAGAGAACGTTTATTTGATTTCTATTTACTTGTTAACATATTATTACAGATGATGGTTTCAAATGAGTTAATATGTGTAGTTAATCAACATTACATGGTACAAATGTTTTGCTAATACTTGTTTTTAACGCTGTCCTTGTTACAACATGAAGTAATTACAATAAATTATGCATAATTACATCCAGCTAAACCTAATCCTCATTAACTCTGACCTACAGTTACCCAGTAGTGCACAAAACAATGAAATTTACCACACAACTGAAAAGACCATTTCAATGTGGTCATATCATTGGCTCATGGACATTTCCTGCATGTTATCAAGCTATTTCATAACAGTAACAAGAGACAATTCAATCATAACTTCATGTTGAAACAGCTCTCGTAACGTTCTTTATCAATAAGTGGCTGTTTTTGAATTCTCGGAAGCTATAAAAATTAAAAATGTAAAACAGGAAATACTCTGGGACCACTGTTTTTGTTTATATCCCTCAAAATGGTCTATTGGCACAATATGCTCCCAACAACTAGGGGGCAGTTGTTCTGTGAAAATGGGTAATTACTTGAATACATTCTTGTGGGTTGTCTGGATACTTTATGTATCACACCGGAAGAGGCTGTGACTGCTAGATTGCTAAAACTAACCATCTAAATATGTGTTTATTTGTGGATAAGCACTTCTCACACAGTATGAGAGAAATAAAATGGGGGCTTGATTTTAATGTTTTAAACATATATCTGCTATTTAAAATCTGTTGTTTTTTGATTTTGCTATTGTGTTTTGGCTTGTTTCTGTTGTGTTGTGGGTGCTTGCCTCTTAAATTTCATTTGTTGTGCACTACTGGGCCACCATATTGACTAGGGCTGCACAATATAGGGTTTCTAGGCCTGTCACAATAATCAATATATTGACTTGCCGCACAACACATGGACATGACCGCAATCATTTTTGATGATGCAATACTGTATATATCACCAATACCAAAAAAAACACACAAAAAAAAACAATTCTAGCAACATTTTAGCCGATTGTGCAACATCTTTACCTCTAACTGGAGGTGTCATTGTCAGTATGGTTAAAAATACACTATAGTATTTACTATAAATTACTATGCTATATTTTTATGTGGGTGTCTGACAACTGAAAATAGATCTGGTAGCAGATATCGCAGCCTCCTACTTTTCACCTTGCACTTTTTTGTTAACATTATTTATTATTTAGGATATGTGTTTTCTCATTCTGATTCCAATGCCTAATTATTAAATTGTAAAAATAACTATAATTAAATTAAATATTCTTAAGAATCAAATATTGTATGTTCTTTGGAAGAGTGTACTTGTATTGTGATGATATTATACTGTCATTCTGGTATTAGATAAGGAGTGGCTAAAATTGTCTTAAAATGACAATAATATTGTTTATCACAATATACTTTGGTCCAATATATCATACGACAAAAAATAGATATCGTGACAGGCCTAATCGTTTCAGCATCGATAGTGCAATGTGCGCATCTGCAATAGTCACATTGCAAAGATATGCAATGTCCAGTCTAAATTATAGTTGACCTGGAGCTACAGAATTGTATTTAACCACTGTATTTATGTGAAATTTATATGATTTATGCAAAAACATTTCCTATTGATAATTCTTGTCTCGTTTCCAACCCAAATATCTAAACTTCAAAGCACCACTGGCAAATGTATAACACTTCATTTTCATTTATTTCTTTTGACGGTGTAAACTAAACAATATTTTTAACTCGTACTAATATTTTTTTTGATATCAAAGGGAAAAAAAGCTTTTTTTTTCATTTTGATTATTCAATTTCTGTACCCGAATACTGTAATGCTGTGTTCACACCAAACGCTGTATGAATGGATAAATCATGATATTTGCACGTAAATAGATACATGAAGAAAGTCAAGTTCACTTCGCAACAGACGCAGATTCAAATCATGGGCAGGGCTTCTGTCTGCCCAGTGACTCTAGCTTGGTTGCTAAATGGCTAACATGGATTTTATTGAGAGAATAGCTGTGTTTATGTGCTTTAGGAAGACTGAAAAACAGTGCCGATTTGTTTGGTGCCGTGTCTGAGACCACTAGATCTATTCTGGGGAGCACCCAGCTCTGTGAGCTCATAAACTCCTCCAGAAACTATACCTGGATGATGGAAGCTTTCAGCGGTGCTTCCGACTGAGCTGAGCCCAGTTTGATGTACTGTTGTCTGGTGTCAGCAGGAGGATTTCCCCCTCGGGACACTAACAACAGGCACTACGTCATAATTACTCCCCTACAAGAGAAGGCTCCTGATTGCTTAACGTGGCACGAATGTCCACTGAAGTTCCGATTTTTCAACTCAAGCGATACATGTGTTAAGCACTTCAATTGTGCAAAACTCTCAACTCATGCCGCATCATTCTCGCCACCTCGTTTGTGCGTATCGTGCCGCAGGATGTCTTTTCGCGTCTTTGCATTAACCTAACAAGTAAATCACCCAGAATTACACCCTAGAATCACTCCATTAACCGCCAAATAGAGCTATTAAAACTATCTTTTGAAACTGTATTCATATCACAAAATTTATCGCAGTAAAATAAAACATTTCATTATCAGACTTTCAGCAATCGTGCAGCCATAATATTAACAGTATTGATAGTAACTACATGTAATTAATTACTATTACTCAATTTTAAAAAATGCAATAAATGTTTATTGACACTGTAACAAGGATAGCATAAATTAAATTGTAACCAGTTTTTTTATTAGAATTAAAGTAGTCTACAAATAAACCCCACACAAATCTAATGCACTTCTGAAGGCGTTTGCAAGCTCATGTCTAGTGCTCCTGAATTAGGAACGGGCAACATGGAAAAAAGAAAGACAGATGAACAGACAGAGAGAGAGAGAGAGAGAGAGAGAGAGAGAGAGAGAGAGTTAGAGAGTGAGAGAGAGAAAGAGAGAGAGAGAGAGTTAGAGAGTGAGAGAGAGAGAGAGAGAGAGAGAGAGAGAGAGAAAGAGAGAGAGACGAGACAGTGTTACACATGAGAACTGATAGGGAACTCTGCGCTCCATAAATCTGAGTTTTGGCAGCAGGCAGCCTGAGCTCCTCATGTTTGGAGCACGTCTGACTGTATGACTGAATCCTCCACCCAGTCCCACAGCTCACCGGGTTTTTGGCCCTCTTGTCCTCATCTTCCTGGGCCTTGGGGAACTCTTGCTCGAAGGAGCTGGCCAGCTCATTGAACAGGCCCACCTCTTCACAGTTTTTCAGGAAACGAGTGGGAGTCGGCGTCTGGTCTGGGATAGAGAGATCTCATTGTTTCCTTATGCAAGACGGCCTCGAGGACAATATAAACTCTGACGCTCAGCTAAACAGTTGTATGTTGCAGCACAAACCAAATCTGCTTGCGATTTAGCATGATAAATCTGAGAGAGTTCAAGGCGGTTAGTACATTAGTGCATTTTTCCCAAGGGTGTAATGTGACATAAAAAAACATGTTGTGAATTTCCTCCCTTAAAATTACAATCTTACAGGGATTCAGCTTCACTCTGAAGATATAAAGTAATGATATCAGATTACTTTGTTGAATTTCTGTAACATTTGTTTTGTCAGCAGCGTCTGAAACACGCATTCCAGATTACTATTACAGATAAAAGGAGTGACACGCAGAAACACGAGCATGAATTAGGGAATGGATTACTACCAGACACAAAAGAATAGTCACTATTCATATTTTATTTATAAAATAATACATGCAATATTTATGTTTTTTAATTAACAATTAGTGAAGTTTATTTATAAACTAATTTCGAGAGGATCATGTGTCTATGATTCACCAATCACATGATTCCTATGGAACCAGGCGGTTTTATACCACAATCATCTTTGTTTTGAAGAATCCCCCCATCCACCCCTACTTCTCCTCCTTTCCTAGATTGAGCGGCATGGCGGCCCAGTGGCACTGTTGACTCACAGCAAAAATGTCACTGGTTCAAGTCCTTACCAAACCAGTCGACCTTTCTGTGTGAAGTTTATATGTTCTCCCCAAATCATCCAAATTGTCACCATAAATGTGCTTCTAGTCAGCAAATATTTCTGCAATTCATTATTGGTCATTAGTAGGCCCACACGGAACCTGCGTGAGCAGAAATCCGTAGATTTTTAGCCCATCATTGAGTCTATGTATTTACTTGTGTAAATTGTGTAAAATAATATTTATTCCGTTTTTTAAATTAATTTCACGAATATTATTGTGATATAAAAATAATAGTATGAAAATGTTCATATGATTTATTTCAATTTGTAAAGTAACATTTTATGTCTTTTAGTCGATAGATTATATGAGAGACTTGCTCTGTTTACCTAAGTGGATCCAGTTAATTTTGTATTGTAAACATTAAATAAAAGTTAAAATGTATTTTTTTTTTGTTTATATTTGAAGTTTTTTGTTTTGATACTCCCAAAATAATTCCACATAAATCCAAAGATTTTTAACAAAATTCTCTTCAGAAATGGCAAAAAATGTCCACAGATTCTGTCTGCCCCTTGTCATTATCGATAAACAACAGGGAAGTTCTCGCGATCTACCTGAGCTTAAACTTCCCTCTCACTCTGCAAACGGGAGGGAGCTCCGGGCTCAAGGATCTTATGAGCTCAGGGCTCTCTTCCGGGACAGCATGCCAAACACGCTTTATAATCGAACTAATATTGAACTAATTATTACTAATATAGTAGTAATAATTATATGAACTTTAACTAATATTACAATCTAATTTCATTTTTGAATGTGTATATAAACAAGTACAAAAACACATTTATATTCATATATATATATTTATATATATATACATACATGTGTATATATATATATATATATATATATATATACACACACACACACACACACACACACACACACACACACACACACACACACACACACACACACACACACACACACACATATATATATATATATACATATATATATATATATATATATATACACACACACACACACACACACACACACACACACACACTTAACAACTAAAACGAATGAAAAAAAATTATAACAACAGAAATAGGTGTTAAAACCCAAAATAATTATTCGCCATGAGTTTTTTTAAGACCTTCCAAACGGGGGTTTATAATAGGAATTTTCCTATAATGAGTAAAATAAAGTCTGCTGTAAACTCAGTGATACCTGAATGTTCTGTTCTACAAAAAACATCTAGGCAGGCTTGCACTCAAACATTCTTGTCTAGTTACTTATTAAAAACACATGTTTTATAAAAAACACAACTTTAAGAATCTTATTTTCTATACGTGAATGTAATTTACATTCTAGTGTGAAACAATAATTGTCAAGTTATGTTTACCAAAGACATTATATTACTAATAGATCAAAAACAGAGTTATTCTTTTGGGGATCTGAAGTCATTCTGGCACCACTTTATTATATGAAAAATTAATACATCTGAACTAGATTACACTATATTGCCTGGTTGTGAAATACCTGCAATGATGACTGAGTCCGTTCTGGCGGGTCCGAACTTCAGCGTCATTTCATGTTTGTGTTTGTGGACAGCCAGGTGGTCCTCGTTAGTAAACCTCTACAAAGACACACAGATAAACAGACAGATTACGAGCCCAATCTCTCCAGAAGAAGAGAGAAGAACATTTCACGACCTCAGGGCAGAAACACACTTCCAAAAGAAGAAGAGGGAGTGGCATTGACAAGTCTTGTCTTTTGAAACTGATAATGTAGGCCAGAGAGGACTTCATAATGATCGTTTTTCACCAAACCTGAGCGCTTCTCAAAGACTCGAAGGTATTGGATGTAACTATACAGTGTCAGTGTCAAAGACGTACAGTAGAGGTGGCTTTCTGTTTCAGGTCTGACTTTTTGAGCCCTTATACAGCCGCAAGGCTTACAACGCTTACATTTCTCGACACTTCCGTTCAGCTGAGGAATTACAGTAAGTATTAAACTTCCACATTTGTCATACAATTAAAACATTACAAAAATACATTGTGCAAATAAAAAAAGTGCTGACGCAAAGGCAGAATTTGGTGGCTTAGCACTTTAACCCAGTGCCCGAGTCATGATGTTATGCATGAAGGGCACAATAGACTGAGCAAACTAAGCAGATGTATTCAGTTAACATTTATGACAGGCAATCATGCATTCTCCAACGTGCTTTTATATTTACCTTTGAAACAAACCGCTGTTAAGCTAATAAAACGTGTGCGCAGCGGAAGCACAGCTAGTCAATCACATTTATTTCAGTAACCAACCAAAGTATGCCATAGAACGAAAATCTGGATATTCCAAGGCATGGCTGAATGAAAATAAGAGTTAAAATGGCATACCATGAGCCTAAAACACCATAGTTTGAAGAGAAAAATCCTGGTGAAAGACAGGACTTTCTGAACAAAACACAGACTGTTGGTTTGCACATGGAAATATTAATAAGCACACCTAAGGCTGCATTTGACTATTCATGGTTTAATAGTCAGATTACAACAATCTTTTTGCTTATATTTAACTATATCAAAGCTTGCATTAAACATGCTATGTGTGTGGGACCCTATTTTGAAAGTGTCAACCGAAGAGGCACAAGGTCTGTTTAAATGTATCTTTTGTTAGTTTAATGTGCATATTGTGAAATTGGACATTTGAGTATGTTTGTAATGAGGCAACAAACACATGCAAACCTTGTTTATTACATGTTTATGTATTTTGTCACATCACTTAGGCTTTCTATAATAAAGAGTAGAAGTCTCCTGCTTTTGTTCTCATTCACATTAAAGCCAGATAATCTCTGTCGGTCGCTTTTGTCAGATATAATTATAATTTAGCCTATAATTTACTCACAACACATAACTATGACAAATATTAGAGACCAATTTAACATATTGAATCAATGCACATTATGGCACATTTAAAAATCCCTTATCCTGTGGAAAATTATGTATAAATGCCCTGACAAATACCAATATAATTGGAGCTCTATTTTGACCATCCATGCGCAAAGTGCAAAGCGCAGGGCGCAAAACCAATAAGGGCGTGTCAGAATCCACTTTTGGTATTTTAAGGACGGAAAAATCTGCTTTGCACCGTGGCACATGGTCTAAAAGGGTTAGGCTTATTTTATAAACGATTTATAGGTGTGTTTTGATGTTTTGGTTTGTTTCAGAGTCTCATCTCCCATTCCCTTTAAGAGTAAGATGCGTCGCGCCATAGCTCATTTGCTATTTACATGACGGACTTTGTAAGTTAAAAAACTGAGCATTTCACTAGCAAAAAAAACACAGTTAAACAGAGCATCTACAGCGTGAGAATGAGAGATGAGCCTCCTCATTATTTACTTTCACTTTCACTCTTGTGGATAGGGAAACTTCTTGTACGCCGAGACATCCATTAGCCTAAAAATAATTAATTTCGTTAGTTAAGTGCAAGGATTTGTTTCAAAACTATTTCAAAATTCAGTTCTAATTTCCAGCAAACAAATAAATGAACAATAATAACGAAGTGTGGTCAAACAACTGAGTTATGTCCTAATACACATGCTTTGCCCCATATGGTCCAAAACCTGACAGGTGGGCAAATCTAAGCTTGTTTTTAATTTAAAAAATATAAATAGCATATAATAATTACTACTACTAATAATAATAACACTATACAAAAGCAAATTGTCAGGAATAAACTGAAAAAGCCTTGGCTGAGGCTATTAACTGAGGGCCGTTCACATAACAATCTTGCGCACACAAAAACAGAATACTTTTTTTCTTGCGAGCATAATGACAGCGACGCGCATGCGGCGTGCAAACCACATAACATTAACTGACCATTCAGCTTCATACAAAAATTTGTACTCCAAAGAAAAAAAAAATACAAAATGAAAATACCAAACAAATTAATAATATTGTTAAGGGAAATACAAGGCTTATATGTTACTAGATTTACATTAGACAAACACGTTTTATTTACTTATTTTTTTATTCATTTTTCTGTCGTTTATCGTTAGTGTAAAATGATTACGTATGTTTAAATGCCAAAACCTTCTTTTTCTTTTATTTTTAAGTCCAAAAAGAACCGGACTACTGGTTGTTTTAAATTATTATTTTGTGCAGTATTACTTGGTTACTAAGCAGCAATAAACAACATTTTAAAATATAAAGAGTTTAAGTGATTTTCTAAAGAGTAATGTTTTAAAATTAATGACTGCATGATAATTGTGATAACTATAAAACCATGATTATTGCTCAGACTATAATCGCACAACCAAAATCTATAATCGATGCACTCAAATTCACGAATATTTTGAATCAGTGATGAATCTCTTTCTAGTCAAGATTCAATCAGTTCACATTTTTATTTGAATTGTTGCAAAAAAGTACAATTGTTTTAAAATCGCCTCAACTACTGAATCCTTGCAGTCTCCTACAGCAGCTGGAGTGGACATGGAGCCTCTAGGATTAGCTTTTCCTCTTTCTGAGTGGATTTCATGACTCAAATCATGTTCACTGGGCTCCACAGTCTTCATCAGACTATTTCTGTCTCCATGTCACGGTTGCAGTTCAGTTGTGACAGCGCAAAGTGGAAACACAGTCAAGTGTCAAAAGCTTATTTTTAGATGTGCCAGCATCCCCAATACAACAACTGCATGGCCTGTAGCTTCTTTCCCTCGACTTAAATGAGTTACCCTGGCAAGGACAACACATGATGACAACACAAGGACAACATTGTGACTGACGCAAACAGAGAAACTAATTAACACCAACAAACAAGAAACGCAGCTAGACTTGTTATACTTCCTCTTTCGTAGCCGTATCTTATATTTGTACCTTCCTCTAAGAAAGAAGAATGTGTCATTGGGAAATGCAACAAATAGAGCTATTCTGTCACGAATGAGATGAGTTGTGTTATATAGTGACACTAACCGCATTAAGATCATTATTATTTGCCCTATTTGCCATCAGCATAAAAATGTATGTTACTGATATGACATGTCAAGCAATGCATAAATTTAGTTAACTATTAAAGTATAAAATACTTGCCCAAAAAAAAAAATTCACAGTTTCTGTTGGCCTGGGGTTAGTACACATGCTCCTACATGTTGAGACGTGGTGCTTATGTGGGTAAAGAAAGTTACAGCCCTTCTCCTTTCATTTCCTGATCCCACTGTCCCCCACCCCAAAAAACAATTTGTTTTTGTACTACATAAAGCAAAAATAGCAAAAACAAAATAGCAGATTTAAATGGGAAAAATATTTTTTCAGTCTTCTATATTATCATTATTTTAAATAACTGTTTTCCATTTTAACATACCGTAAAATGTCATTTATTTCTGTGGTGGTAAAGATCAATTTATTATTCCTTTAGTCTTTACGGTTACATGATTCTCTAAAAATCATTCAAATATGTTTTCATAAGACATTATTATTAATACTGACAACAGTCATTATGTGCAACTTAAAGTTAAATGAACAGCATATATTACACTTTAGGATATATTTAAATATAAATGCATGGTTTCCGTTGCATTTATTCTTACAAAACTAAAATTCATTCCCGCAATGGCTACATTACAGCTTCTCATACAAAACATTTAATTGTTTTTTTTTTAAATAGTGGGTTATAATCGCAACAAAATGTTTAAAAATGTAAGTGAATTATAACAGAGCGAGTTTTTCTGTAATCGTAGAAGTGCTGTGAGTTATTTGTTTAACCCTTTAAGGTGACATGCTGACTGACTGACTGACTGACTGACTGACTGACTGACAGGGCTGCGCAATGCGTGAAGCCAGCAAGCACATCGTAGCTTTCAGTTACTATGAACAATTTCCATAATTAAACTTTATTTAAAGATAAGGTCTACAGTTCCAATGCAATCTCATGGCAATTCTTAACTTATTGATTTAGTGGCTAATTCGTATGAATTCTTACAATCTGATTTGTACAATTTAGTATGATTTGCTCATCACCCAATGACGGTTGGGGTTAGGGGTGGGGTTTGGTGCCACGCCTCCTTTTTAAAGTCGTACATTTTCACAAGACTGAACTCATGCTAATTTGTACAAATTAGACACTAAACTGACAAAACGTAAAATACTAACGTTTCCTCGTGAGATCAGGCTGACAGTTCTGCATACAATTACATTATCTTGCTGGAGTTTATGTCTTATTCACTTTACTTCAAGACGCATCAATGCTGTTCTGTAGGTCTATTGAAGACATTCATAAATATTCCTAGCAAATTTAATAAATGTTAGGGTCATACACTACCTTTGGGGTCAGTAGGATATTTAAATGTTTTAAAATAATTTTTTCCTGCTCACCAAGGCTGCATTTATTTAATCAAAAATGCAGTGCAAATTGTAAATTGTAAAATATTTTTGCTTTACAAAAGAACTGTTCAAAAGAAGTTTATAATTTATTAATTTATTCAAGTGATTTTAATGATGAATTTTCAGCTTCAGCTTTATTACTCCAGTCTTCATTGTTTTCAGAAATCACTCTAATATTAATTATTATCATTATCATTATTATTATTAATGGTAATAGTAATAAAAGCAACTATGACTAGTTCGCAAAAGTAGGTTTTGG